TGTCCCCCCCCAGCCCCCACTCTGCCCCCCTCCAAACCCACCTGCCTGTTTTTCCTGCTGCAGTAGCCAGGGTCTTTGCATTCCCCATCTCTCCTCCAGCTCTACTTCTTGCCTCCAGTGGGAGGGGGCTGAGGTACCCTGGCCCCCCTACCTGTGAGGTAGGGGGGCCAGGGTGCCTGTTGTGTGCACATGGTGAAAGAGGGGTTCAGGATGCTCGAGTTGTGTGTGACAAAGGAAGGAGCTGGGCTGCCCACACTTCATACGGAGGGGGAGAGTGCATGGCTGGAAAGGGAGGTGGGTGTTATGAGGTTAGCAGGCAGGGCCAGACACAGGCATGAGTGAACTGAGTGACCACCTGGGGCCCAGACAGAAAGGGGACCCAAAAATGGTGAAAATGATGATTATTATTATCATTATCTCTGGCAAAGGGGGGGCCGATACTAAAAGTTTGCCCGGGGCCACCAGGAGTCTAGGTATGGTGCTGATAGCAGGGGGGAGGACTGGGGGCCCAAACTGCCCATGCTAAGAGTGTGGGGAGGGAGAGAGCCCAGGATGGAGCATTTTCTGGATCTGTGACCTGTGTGGCATGTGACATCTCTCTACCTGGAAGTTGGATAGCCCTGCTCTACTAACAGGCTGTCAAACTTAATTCAGGCCCCATGGGCCAGATGAGTGGTGCTGTGCTGGTCCTCAGCAGGACTGGGCCCACAGATTGGTCCCCTGTGCTGGACCCAGGGTGAGGGTGCTGCCAGCAGCATGCACTGCAGCCCAGCCCTGGGTGCAGTGTGTGCTATGGACCAGCCCCACTTTCCCCATGCAGTGCACGGGCCCGGCCTGGCACGTGCCACATATGGTGTCCAGGTCCAATCTAAGACCCAAAGGCAGCACTGTGGGCCAGGCCCATGGGCTTCATCTTTAACACCTCTATCTACCTAACAACTCTGTTCCATCTGGAAAGCACACAAGCTCGATGGCTGTTTGGAACACTATGAATCACACAACTGTTTTCAGGTAAGTGAACAAAAAGGCCATTTGTTTAACTACTTTAACTTTACCCTCATGTAAAAGTGGTTATTTGTAAGCTGACCGGCTCATTCATTGCAAGATTTGTGTCCTTAATTTGTGTCTACAATGCTGCTGAAGTTGGAATTTTCCAAATATAGGCTTTACAACCTAGTTCTCACAGCCTATAGGGAAAGGCATGGCTGCTTCAATAATTGCTGCTCAAACACTGGGGACAAGCAGCACTGTCTTTGGTAGAATTTTCCCTGGCAAATGACGAGATCAGTTGGATGGTAAATACACTAGAAGTCAAACAAGAATTCCTGGAGGCAGAGAAGGTACTTTTATATTTACCCCTTTTTTCTGCGAAAGAACCCAACATTTAACTATTATGCCCAAAAACTACATTAAAAGAACATTATTAAGGTAGCATAAAGCTAAGTTAGGAAACATGAGAATTAAAGACTGCTTGTGCAACTTTGTGCATCCACATCCCATAGTTGTATACAGCTTGAAGCCATGCAAAACCATAGGCTGCCCACTGTTGTGATTCAGCTTATTACTCTTGAACTAAGTCCAATAGTTGGTATGGCTGCCTAAAGTTCATTATATTCAAATTAAGACCTGATGCCTTTCTGGAAGATCTTAAAAACTGGAGAAGATACCACTTAGGATATGGTCTTTAATTTGCACAGGATCAGTGTCTCCTGTAGTGCCCTGAATGGGCAGAATTCAGTTAATGAGTAGCTATTCAGTATGTTCTGGTCATTCTTTAATGTGTGGCTATAGCCAAGGCCTGAACTTCCTTCAAAGGGTTTTTATGATGCTCATCACTATAGTTTTAGAGTGCTTTACAAACATTATAACTTTATAAAACTGTGAGGTCAGGGGGAGGTACAATGGGCCAGAGCACAGACTGGCTAATTTTGGGTGCCCTTAGTACTGGCCGGAGTAAAGGCTGAATCACTGGCAGCATTTATCTTCCTTAAGCATAAGACCTCCCTTTCATCATACACCTTTCAACTTCTACAATAAACAAAGCAGAGGCCCTACAGACAATAGTCTCCTGCTACCACACAATCCTGATACATCCCCTAGAGTAGGTATATCCCATGCATTTGAGGAGTCAGACGCCTCTATACGAAAAAAAAAGTATGTAATCGTGTCACTAAAGAATGTATCACTATACATATGCACACGGGGGCTTTATTAAAGTCACGGGAGCAACTCAAGCTAATGGAGTTACTGACAATAATTACATGCTGCCACTGAGGACAAGAATTACAGCAGGTGAGACACGAACTTAAGCAGCAAGTTTCACAGATATGAACCGGGACTTGAGGGATGGTGAGACTCCCTGGAGGGCTTGGATTCCAGTCCAGACTTGGGAGGGAAGTGTATTCTATTTGGCACTGACTTTTCTGCTCCTTCCCTCTGCCAAAATCAAAGGGTGACACTGTCCCTAGAACATGGAGTTAGGATGGAACCTTTCACAAAGCTGCAAGTGTTAAAGTTCAACCTAAGATCATCATCTGCTTCAGTCTTGGGTAGGCACAAAAATTTAGGCACGAAGATTTACAAACATTGTCTACATCAGTGGTTGTCACCTTTTTCGACTTGAGGCACCCCTCGTTGGACTCAACCCCTTATTAGACTCAAGGCACCCTGCATAACTTTTGTGAATTGAGTAGCACTCAATTTCAAAAACTAATTTACAGAGTACAATTCTTGCTTCCTTACAGAGGGGCCTAGAGTCGGAATGGGGGATCACCCAGGCAGAGACCAGCCTGTGGTTATCTGCTTAGTTTCTTAGTATCTGCCACAACACCCTGGTTGAAAATCACTGGTCTTCATACACTTGAAAGTATGATTTAATAAATAAGTGCATTGCTTACTGGGAACACGCGGGAGTTAGCAGAAAGAACACCAAAGACAGGAAGAAAGCAATAAATAAACTTCCAAAACCATCCATGTTGCAACAATTAAAATATTTACTTCTGACACAAGCCTAATTAGCTAACGACATTCAACTCAGTCTTGAAATAGGAGGTTCAAGCTACCCAATTTATTCTCAGAATAAAGGAACTCACCCTCTGTATTAAGAAGACAATGGCATCCACTGCTACCATTAGTCCTCTTCCCTCTTATTACAATTAATCAAGCACATGAACACTATAATGAAGCTGAGCCCCTGCAAACTCACCAGGCTGTGCATAATTTCCACTCCAGCTGGATTCACTGTGAGTGCCTCATCATACAATTGCTTAGCCTCCTCCAAGCTGCCTTTCATCTCTGCAAGCCTCCCACGCATGTACAGCACAGTGTGAGATGTGGGGAAAAGACTTGCTGCCTCCTGGATACAAAAGCTTGCTTCCTTGAGATGCCGTTGTTCCATGAAAAGCTCAGCTATAAAACAAAAACTACCATTAATTTAAATAATTCAGTAACCTTTACTTACACTTTCTCCCTTAAAACGTACTAAGCTTAAAAGATTGCATCATGAAAATGCTTACTGTTATGATAACTGCTTACTACTGCTGTGAGTAGCTTCACTGAATGAAATTGCTCTCAGTAATAAGTACTAAATGTAGGCTAAGGTCTCAGTTCAGGAAAGCATCCCTAGAACACTTGAAAAACATTCTAGAGGTTGCTATGAAAAGAGACAAACTTGAGGATGTACTTACGTGTTCTCTGAATCACGGTCTAAGTCTATTCAGGATTTGGCTCTAACAGAACAGTGTTCTAGCAAGACAATCTGCATTGTCAAGCCATAGCTGGGTAGTGAGAGTTTTAACAGCAAGAGAACAACAGGATACTAAGTTGACACTTCCATTTTGATTTTTTTAAATACCATATACCATCATTCATTCCCAAATTTAGTTTAATAACTCTTTCAATGTCTTCATAAACTTATAAAATGTCCATGTACCATGTACTATAGGGATTCAATCATATTATGCGTCAAATGTAATATTGATCACTCACATATGCAAACACGTACCCACCGAATCCCCAACAGTACGATACAAAAATGAAGTCAATGACTGCAAATGAGATTGCTCTGTTTACTCTCCTCAGCAAGTGACAGCTGTACTAAATTGTTCTTGCAAATAAAAAAATGGAACAAGAATACTAATGTGCTTTATTGACACGATCAATGCATTTGTTAATAAAAACACTGAATAACATTTGTTATCCACTAAACCTAATTTCTAATGTTCTTAGGATCTTGCAAAAGTCTTCAAAAACAGGACATCCAGTTTTCTCCAAGCCATGAATCCAAAAATGAAGCTTTGGAACTATCTATAAAATAGAATAATTCTCCTTAATGCCTCTAAGGAATGGCAGTGTTTCAGCTCATGAGTGGATCATGTAGACCAGTGGTTTTCAACCTTTTAGACTCAAGGCACCCCTTGGAAAAGCCAGATCTTAGCTTTCTTTCAGTTCATTCTGAGAACTAATAGAGCCGTTCTTCTGTTGCAAAGAACCACAACAGGTCAGAAAGTTTTGCGCACTGTGAATTCCTATTTGAAACCTGGGTTTATCTTGCCAATTACACGTGGTATTCGCACACTCAAGAGTGCTAATATTGAGCAGCAGTCTTGAAAGGATCTCACAGCACCATGGTTGAAAAAAAAATCACTGATCTAAACAGTTACAGTGAAGCTTGCTCAGAAGCTGACCATTCCTGGACCGCGCTGTAGATAATGTTGTTCCCCAGTACTATCAATCTGGCACCTTTTGTGAGCAAAACCTTCATTTTCCAATGAGAGCTTCACTCTTTACAAGTTGCTCAGAGACTCTGTGAAGTTCTATGGTTTATTTGCAGGACAGAAACTGCATAATTAATCATCATAACATCTCAGTGTGCATTCCCTTCCTTAGCTCCAATAAGATACAGTTATCTATAGATAATAGAAAATGAGGCCATGTATCTTGTCATGCTGAGCCTGCACTAAACCTTATTCAAAATGTTGTGCGCAGAAAATATTTTACTTGCGCTTCCCTGGGAGTACAGTGTTTTCCTACCAAGTGCTGCATGGCAGCTGACAATGTGCATATTCAAGTTAGCATAGTTACCACATGCAAAGTGACAGCTCAGCCTGAAGAAAAAAAATACTTCATTTGCAAAGCTAACACAAAACTAGCAGCAGAAAACCAGGGGTAAAAATCCTGACTCCACTGAAATCCATGGGAGTTTTGCCATCAACTACAAGAAGGGATGGCTTGGAGGGGTCAAGATTTCACTGCATGCAAGAAGAACCAGCACCACACCAGCATGAAAAATGCAGCAGTAGCATCCATTTAGGGGTGCAGAGAGGGAGAAGAGCACATTGCATGTAACTAGAAGCAAAGGCCTTTATTCAATCAGTGAATCTGACGTGTCTGAAATTACACACAGGACAAGTCAAACCGAAAATCAGTGGGATTACTCAGAAGCTTATAGTTAGGCACATGCTTAACTACTTTGCTGAATGGGAACATAAATGAAGATAAAAACAGTAAGAATATTGCCCATGACTAGGACTCTAACAATGCCGTAACACAACTCATTGCTCTTACGAGGCAGAGTAAGCTGGGACAGAAGGGGAGAATGTGCCATCCCTTACAGCGCTGAACACAACATACGCAATGTTGAGTACTTGTTTTTCCTTTCAACTGTGTCTGTAAATCTTCTTCAGTAATAACAAATATTATTAAAAAGATGAAAAGCAATATGTAATCTAAATAAGATCTACAAATTGTATTTTATGCTATGGTAATGTATCAGATTAAACCTCAGTCCATTTCTTTCTATTGGCTCAGTAGTCAATAAAACATAATTTGATGGTGTAGGCAGCCTAATTTGCAAAAAGGAAGAACACAAGTGCTTTTGGTTAGGAAGGCAAATAAGGAAGGGAGAGCACCTAGCCAACTAAAAATAGATGCTAAGGGAAATCAATTAGGCTTACATTAAACCTGTGCTTCCTAGAAATATTTTCTATTAGTCATTTCTTTTATTTACAGATGAAGTAAATGAATTTATAACTCCACAGAACTAAAAGACAGATGAGGACAGACAGAGTCATGTCATTTATCTGGCTAATACTTCTCATAAATATATTAAAGTTACTGTCCTAGTCTCACCAGTCTTCAAGTTTTCCAATAGATAGAATTATAGATCACTGGTGTTCAACCTGTGGTCTGCAGACCTCTGGGGGTCTTCACACTATGTCTAAAGGGTTCACAAAAGATGACTATAATCAATCAAAATTATGCAAATACCCACACTTACAATTCAAGGGGGTCCACACCTCCATTTGTAGTTTCCAAAGGGGTCCAACACCTCCATTTAAATATTTTAGGGGTCCACAAAAGAAAAAAGGCTGAAAACCACTGTCAGAGTATCACCCAGTCTTGTCGTAAGTACACCTCCAACTGGTTACTTTCATAGTTTCATAGATTAAGGGTCGGAAGGGACCTAGTAGATCTTCTAGCCCGACCCCCCGCCAGGGCGGGAGAACAACAAAAACCCCAAAAACAAGAAACGGGACTCAAATGAGTCCAGCCAGGTAGGCATCCAGCCTCTTCTTAAAGACCCCCAGGGTAGGGGCCAGCACCACTTCCCTTGGAAGTTGGTTCCAGCTCCTAGCCGCCCTAACTGTGAAGTAGTTCTTGCGGATGTCCAATCTATACCTCCTCTCCATCAACTTGTGCCCATTACTCCTTGTTATGCCAGCGGGCGCTAGGGGAAACAGCGTCTCCCCCAAACCCTTCTGGTCCCCCCTAGTGAGTCTATAGACGGTCACCAGGTCCCCCCTCAGCCTTCTCTTGTGGAGGCTGAACAGGTTCAGGTCCCGCAGTCTCTCACTGTAGGGTCTGCCCTGTTGTCCCCGGATCATGCGGGTGGCCCTCCTCTGGACCCTCTCCATGTTGTCCACATCCCTCTTGAAATGGGGCGCACAGAACTGGACACAATACTCCAGCTGTGGCCTGACCAGCGTCGCGTAGAGGGGGAGGATCACCTCCTTGGCTCTACTCGAGATGCACCTGTGGATGCACGACAAGGTCCGGTTAGCCCTGCCAACCATGACCTCGCATTGTCGGCCCATGTTCATCTTGGAGTCAATAATGACTCCAAGATCTCTTTCTGCCTCCGTGCTCTCGAGTAGGGAGTTCCCCATTGTGTAAGTGTGCTGCTGGTTCCTACTGCCCAAGTGCAGCACCCTGCACTTGTCCGTATTGAAACGCATCCTGTTCCTGTTAGCCCACCCCTGTAACCTATCCAGATCCCTCTGCAATCTCTCACTCCCTGCTAGCGTGCTCACCTCCCCCCAAATTTTGGTGTCATCAGCGAATTTAAACAGGTTACTTTCCACCCCATCATCCAGATCGCTGATGAAGAAATTGAACAGCGCAGGCCCCAGGACCGAGCCCTGGGGGACTCCGCTACCCACCTCCCCCCAGGTCGAATATGACCCATCCACCACCACCCTCTGAGTGCGACCCCTCAGCCAATCTGCAATCCATCTGACTGTGTAGGCATCTATGCCACAGTTGCCTAGTTTTTTAACTAGGATGGGGTGAGAGACAGTGTCAAAGGCCTTTGTTGGTAAAGCAGCAACCTTCTAGGGTGCTTGTACACGAGATGGTGGGGCCATGTCCACGTGACAAAAAATGATGAGAAATTGTTATTTGCCTAAGATAATGGCATCACCGTGTACACGTGCATGATTTTTTTTGTGTTAAAATTCATTTGAGTGTGGCAACTTAAACCAACTCAAATGTATTTTAGTTTGATTAGGGCAAATTATCCTGTTGTGAATAAAAAAATTGTGAGTATGTACATGTCTGATGTCTGGAGAAGGTGGCGGGGACAGTGGCTGGAAGCCTAGGCAGGCTCGCAGAAGCTCGGGCTTGGCAGACTAGCAGCAACCCATGAACTGTTCCCACCACCTTCTCTGGCTGACAGTACATCCAGCTGCCTTCCCGCACTGCCCCAGGGGCAAGCCAGCCCGTTCCCAGGTGGTTCCAGGCAGCGGGAAGGCAGCAGGGACACTGTACTGGGCGCTGGAAACCCAGCAAGCCCAAGCTTTCCTGAGCATGTCCAGGCTTCCAGCACCCCGTGCACTGTTAGATTAGTTCAGGTGCTGCCTGTGAGCTGAGGCAGTACCTGCCCAGCTAGCATCCTGCCTGGGTAGCCCCTGTGGGCACCACTGCTGCACAGGGAAGCACTGGGCCCCCCATAGCCCAGGGGCTGCACGGCTTGGTGGCAGCTTGTACAGGCAGGCTCTGCCAGGGGGGCAAGCCTGATCCTTTTTTTCCTGGCGGAGCCTGCCTGCCGCACCTGCAGCTTGGGGGGCGAGATGCTGGTGGCCCCTAAACCTTCCCTCTGCAGGGACAGCACCCCTGGGCAGGCTGCTAGT